TAATCGCGTCGAGGACTTCTCTTACCAAGGCCACACTAGGAAGGATGGAGCCGACAACGAGGACAATCGTCCTCATTTGGCCGCCTCCTCCATGCCTTCCCTGGTGGCTGGCTGCCGCCGTCGTCGTCACACCACAGAAGGTGCTGGTTTTTGTAGAGGTCTGCCACAGGACCGACTTGCACCCCCCTCACCAGCAGCCTATCAGGCCTCGACACCGGCCTTCACTAAACAGCAACAGCAACAACAACCGATGTATGCCGACTCCAGCGGTTATCTGACTAGTCAGAAGCCAACCGAATCTGACCTTGTGGTAACTCAAATTACGGTCGATCCGGAAGAATTTTCTTACACGCCATGGGTGAGCTGTCATTCTGTTGATCGTCCAGATTGATACTTTCTTGAGGTCCAGCCTTCGTTAAGGGCAACTAGAGCCCACTGTTGCATCCCCATACAGTAACTTTTATTAAAATCTTATTGTAGTCCTTAATTGTAGGGCTCTGGACAGAATTACCCACATATTATTACTTAATTATCGTCCAAAATCTAGTTTAACAGTCTAGGAGACGTTTTGTAGTCGCAAATACAACTACCTCGACTTGAAAGCGCGTGCACTCTTAGAGCCCCTGAACAACCTACAGTCCTACTCAAGTTACCATTCTGCCAGGATGCGAGCGATTGTTTCGTACCTAAGAACTGACAGGCAAGAAGAACTGTTAAAGATGAAATATAATTCAATTGACCCACTTGTGAAAAATTTGCGGCCTCGGTGGGGGTCGAACCCACACAGCAGGGAAGGCTTTTGCCTTTAGTGGTTAAATTCACTGCACACGGTGAGCCTCGTAGCTCAATGGTAGAGCGTTGGCTGCGGAAAAGCCTTCCCTACTGTGTGGGTTAGACTCCCACCGAGGCCGCGAATTTTTCACAATTGGGCCAGTTGAATTAAGCAAATCTGCCAAACCTCCCTAACGATGAATTAGAAGCCGAATTGGGAGTAAAACAGTTTAACTTGCGATCCATCGATGCAGTTAAGGTCGAGACCGTAAGGAAAACAGTAGATTGGGGGCGCAAACGACGAAGGTAAAAGATGGTTACTAGTTTAGATAGTACGCATTTTCAGAAAAGTTGTGACCACTTGCCGAACCCTTCTTGGTGGTTCAGTATATGGTTCAGTATATTTAGGGGTGATAGGCATTGTCTTATTAAAAAGTGCAATATTTAACTTAAAATACATAAGTAAGTATGACGTGTTGAGGTATTCTGGTGAGGTTACCCATGGTTATCCGATAGTTAAGTCGAAGTATGCGGTAAATTTGCCTTCATGTCTGTTTCTCAAATTATCATCCTCAGAATCTTGGACAGTTTTGGAAGGTTTAAGTTAGTTCCACTTGAAAGCCTCCAAGTCCATTCTTCATCACACCCGAGCACTTTTGAGTTGTTTTTATTTTATTTGCACTCGCAACGGCTCTCATAGTGTCGTGTGATTTAATCGACAGGCAGACCAACAAACAGACTCAATCCTTTAGTGTTTTTTGCCTTAACAGGTTCCTAAGTTATTGCTTTCGGGGATCAAATCGCAAGAGAAAAGTCTACTGTACCAAAGTACTCAGTGCCTGCCTACTGACTGGCAATTTCGGACTGTAGGAAGTCATCTTGCGGTAGTCTGCAAGGATAGCCGGTGACTACCCAAGTATTAGATATGCCCTAACCATCACAACTGGAAACTAGGTCCCCTTTAGGACTAGAAGAGAGAAGACGTCAGTTGGGGGGGCAGGAGGACAAGCTTTCTGTACAAAATACCCAAGCGTATTGACTCAGTCAATGATGCGTGACCGAGAAGGCCTGAGAGTCCGCGATCAAGGCCTACGGGTGCGCGAATGAGTGTGCCGGTGACAACCAGTGAAGTCTTTAGCGTTCACCGCTTAACTCTTGTGTGGACATCCCCGATTGGCTGACCGAGGCGTTGATCCTACCTCGTTCCGTGCTGCGTGGCTGCCAGATACGAAGGACGGGCGTACTTTTGAGTCGTCTACAAGCCAAAGCATTTGATTTCAGATGACTCCGTCTCTCCTACGGGTTGAAATATTATTCGGTTATAACCTTGCATTGTTTTCCACAGTCGTCCTACGCATATACTGTTTACCCATCCGAAGTGCCGCACTTCGATCTGGTCAAACAACTTTTGAACCAGCTGAAGTTGTGTAGACCAGAGTTTCGCTCTCTGGCTCGTGTTTAAACGTCCACGCTGCTAGCCACACACAGTCTATAGTCTCTCGTTCATCCTTTTTAGTTCCAGTCTTCATTCAAAAGTCTAACATTTTTTGTGATCAGTGATGCGGTCCCAAACCGGCTGATCTTGATAATGCAGAAGGTCCTCACGACTATGTCCTCTTGTATTCCAGTCAACCAG